CTGGCGGTGGGCCTTTCTGGGCGGACCACCGCCCGCTCAGATGAGTTCGTCAGCACAAGCAAGCCTGTGTGAGCCTTGGTACTGGTTAACTCTCCCCTGGGTGGCAGGGGGGTCACCAGGGCCTATGAGGGTAGCATCTGACCCTGCAGGCCTCGCTGCCTGGCCCCCACTTTTCCTTTCAGACTCTGGTCCACTTCCAGGTGTAGGGGGCCTGGTACCAAGCTGGGGCCCCCTGTAGTGTATGTTTGTCAGAGAGTCAACCCAAACCAGGGCCACCCAACTCTAGGTATGGGGACCCACTGCTAAGCTTGGGCCTCTGTGCGGGTGTGCGTGTACACTGGGAAGGCACCCTCAAACCAGGGCCCAACTCTAAGCAGGGCGGGCAGGACCCCAGCCCTATAACATGGGCAGATCTCGGGGTGTTATAGAAAGTTGGTGCGGAGGGGCGGGTGGGGACAGGCGTGTGGTGAGGGCATGGTGGAGGGGCACCTCGCCATCAGAAGGAGAAGCAGCGTTCCTTGGGGTGGCCCACCCGTTCCAGGTTGGGCAGGCAGGCAAACTGGATCATGGGTGGGGGGCCACACATCAGCACCAGCGGCTCCTCGTCTGGGGCCGGGAGGTGGTCACGGATCATCTCCTCATTCACGAAGCCCTGGCTGTAGTCCCAAGCTGTGGGCGAGAGACGGGTGAGCCTGTGCGGCTAGGGGACCGCCCGGTGTCCACAGCTGCTGCCCCCACCCCTGCTCGCCCCTGTGCCCGTCCAGCCTGGCTCCCCCGCTGCTGGCAAAGCCTTCTGCTTCCATGTGGCCCCGCAGGTCGCCTGCAGAACTGCCTTGAGGGCAACCCAGCAGGCACTAGAGACTATTCTACAGGTGAGAAACAGCAGCCCAGGGAGAACCAGACCCTATTGTCCAAGGTCCCAGGGACGAGGGTGGGACGTGAACTCAGATCCATCAGCACCTACAGGCCACAGAAGCTGTCCAGGTGAAGACTCGGGCCACAGAGGTGGTTTTCAGCTCTGTCTAGAGCTCAGGACCGTCCTCTGCGACTTCTGGGTCTCGCCCGGGAGAAGTGACACGTGGGGACTGACAGACATGTGTCTCCCAGGTTCCCTGTGCCGGGAGGCTTATCCTCAGCAGACAGTTGGGTGGACACTCCACCACCTCCATGTCCGCTGTGCCTCCTGACCCCACTGGGGGCCAGACCCCAGCTGCCCAGGGTGCTGCAACATGGACATGAGGATGTCTGACTCCTCAGAACCTCTTGAAATGTAGGAGCAGGGCAAGGATGGAGTGTGGGTGAAGACAGAGGGAGGACGATGGAGGGGTGCTGGGCTCGAGAAACCCCAGGCTCTTGGGCCCTGACCCCCGAGTCCCTCAGCCTGGAGCACCAGAGGTCATCTGCCTCGGCTGCTCTCCACAGCCTTATGAGCGGTCCCGGGCCAGGAGGGTGCCCAGATGGACTACACTCACACTATGTCCACCCCGCGGGGCAGGTGGGCCAAGATGGTCCCAGCCGACCGCGGAACAAGGAAGCATCTGCGTGTACAAACCACAGGGTCCTCTTCACTTCCGATATAAGTAGCTGCCACCCCTCGGTCCCTTTTCACTGTCGGCTGGGAAGATCCGTGCATAAGCCATCCTGGTCCATCCCTGACTGCTTCACAGGCTGTGCGCGAGGCGTTCCTGTTGAACCGGCCCCGCCCTGGTGTCTCCTTCATTCCCACTCTCCAGTCATAGCTCGCTGACTCACCACATGCGAGTCTGTGAGGCCTAACATCCCCTCTGGCGCAAGGTGGGGTGCAGGCACTTTTCACAGCAGGGGTAACGACTTAACATCCGCTGCAAACGGTGGCGGGCAGGTCTCACACACACCTCGGCCAGGCCTTGTGCTCAGGCCCCCGGCGGGCAGCTGGCATCAACGTCTCCGTCACCTGCTGTAGCCGCCCGTCTCCTCCTCAGCTGGCTCTCATCATTTCTTTCCCCAGGCTTAGACCTCTACTAGCTCTGAGCGCAGTCCCACGGGAGCTGGGCGGCTAATCCAAAGGCGGGGCCTCTCTGGCGGTTTGAATCCAGGGGACAAAGCTGGACAGTCTCCTCCCAAGCGAGTTCCAGCCTCCAAACAGTAGCTGGCGGGGCCACCAGCCACCACAGGAGGTCAGTGCCAGCCCTTCCCTCCTGCCTGACCAGCTCTGGCAACCTGGGAGGCCAGGGGCCCCGGGACCCCAGCTGACTTTCTCATCAAGGTTCAGCCCGGGTCACTCCAATCGCACGGCTCAAACAGCTCGCCCCAAACAGCTCGCCCGCATCTCCCCTTTTCTTTAAAACCAGATGCAGCCACTGTGATCCCAGAGGTACGCGGTTCGAATCCACCAGATGCTCTGCTGGAGAAGGAGGGACAATCTCCTCCTGTACCAGTCAGATCCAATTTGACGGTACAGACACACAAACCAAAAAGACTAAAAAAAAAAAAAAAACACCCACAAAAAAACCCCAGATGCAGCTACAAGACCAGACTCCTTCCTCCTGAGTCAGTGCACCACTACCCCTCCCTCCGGCTCTGCCTTAAGCCAGGCCCCCCTGATAAATCAGGGTCTCTCAAGCCCTGGTATGTGACCACCAAGCTGCATTCTGCCTGGCAAGGTGAGCTTGCACCCCAACACGCAGAGCAGAGCACAGAGTGGGATCCCATGAGCCCAGATGGCGGCCAGCAGGGCCAGAGGCCCAGACCAGCTGCCCAGTTCACAGATTGCAAACTCTGGTCTGGTCAACACAGGAGGGCAGCTTCTCTCACAGGGACAGGCCAAGATGACCAGCTTCAGAGAGGGAGGTCAGCCTCGGAAGCGCCCAAACTCATTTTCTGGGGTGGACAGAGCCTCCCCTCGGACGAGCGAGAGCTGTGGGCAGCGTGAGGAGAGGTGTGGCACCTCTCATCAACGATGGCCTGTACCCTCATCCCTGTGGCCAGGTCCTGGGCAATCTGTGGCCAGGAGTGAGCAGGGATGACCAGGCCTTGGGCCAGTGTGGTGCTTCAACATTTCTAGTTTCCAACACTGAAATCTTTCTCCCACGAAAACGCAGGTTCCCACGTTTTTCTTGCCAAGGCCTGCCACGTGGGGGTGTCCTTCCTCCCTCCTGCAGGGCTGCCTGAGGCGAGGGGCTGCAGCTCCACGGGGCTGATTCCCCACGTGCTACAGTCCTTGCCGCTCCCTACAGTCTCCCCACCAAGGCCAGCCTTCACCTCCATCACCAGCAGGAAGTCCCAACTGTGGATTTTCTTACAGAAAGAGATTCGGACATTCCCTGTCCCTCCACCTAGGGAGGGGGAGAAGGCAGGGGCTGCCCCTCCACGCAAGGTCACCGTGGTTTACAATCTCAACCTCCTGAGAGTTTGGGACCCTCCACAAATTCACCATGACCTTGGCAGAGCACTCAGCCCCCTCAGTGGGCAGAAGTCTGCCCATCCTACCCTCTGGGCAGATGATGGGAGGGCACGTGGATTCAGGGGCCCAAAGGGGTACAAGAAAAGCTGTGGTGCAATGGTAAGTCCTCAGCTGCTAACTAAAGAGGTTGTCAGTTCAAACTCATCAGCTGCTCCCGAGAGAAAACAGCTGGTGCTCCAGGTCCCTAAAAATGTCAGTCTGAGCACCCTGTGGGAGTGACTCTGTCCTATCTGGTCCCTGTGAATGGGACTGCCTCACGACACACAACACTAACGGTGACAATGGTATAAACTGCAAAGCGAGAGTGACAGGCGCCCCCAGCCTCGCTGCCAGACGTCCCCGGGAGAGCTGTGCCCTCTCCGCTCTCTCAGGGCCCGGACAGAGGATTGGGGGGCTGGTGGGAATGGAACCGCCCGGGCAGAGGATTGGGGGGCTGGTGGGGATGGAACCGCCCGGGCAGAGGATTGGGGGGCTGGTGGGGATGGAACTGTGCCTTCTCACAGCAGTGATGTTAACTCTAACCCCTGCAGCTGCTCGTAGGGGGTTATCTTTATTGTGCAGTGAGACAGGATCAGTGAGTTAATCTCTTCTGAGATATAAGAAACTAAACAAGCAAGTGAGAAGCGGCTCAGAAGAGACAAGAGACTCTTTCAGAACCAACAGAGAGAAGGCCTTCCCCAGAGCCCGAGCCCCGAGTTTGGACTTCCCTCCTCCTAACCCAGGAGAAAACAAGACCCTGTTTGTTAAATCCACCCCCTTGTGGTGCTTCTGTGCTAGCAGAGCCCAGATGAGGCCATGGAAGTAAAAGGCTCAGCAGCAGGCAGGGGTCATCGTGGCTGAGCGGGCCGACCGGCCCCCCACCTTCCTCACTGAGTGGCCCCTCACTCACCTTCGGGGGCTCGGTCCACAGTGAACCAGAGCTTAAAGCGGGCAGAGTGTTCATTCCTCAGCTCCTCCAGCTCGGATCGCAGCAGGATGTCCTTCTCGGTCTGGGGAGGACATGGCCACATGGTCAGGGGGACAGGAGGCCTACAGATGCCCCAGGAGGGGTGGTGCACCCCACAGAGGGATCAGGGAAGGAGTCAGCGGAGCTGATGCCACCCCCTGTGCAAGATGCCCCTGGTGGCACCGTCTATCATGGCCTGAAATATGGGGGGCAGCCCTTCACGTGCAACACGGAGCCAAGTGCTGGTCTGTCTAGAGGTGGTGCTGTCCTTACACACAGGTCTGCAAACTTCCCGATGTTATGAGGGACGCATAGTGTGTACCATAGTGTGTACCAGGGCGCACAGTGTGACACACGTTACTGGGGAGCGTACAGTATGATGCATGTCACCAAGGAGCACAGTGTAATGCATGTTATGGGGAGCGCACAGTGTGATGAAAGTTACGGGGGAGCACGCGGAGTGACGCACGTTACAGGGGAGCAAGCAGTGTGATGCACGTTACGGGAGAGTGCGCAGTGTGATGTACGTTATTGGGGAGCACACAGTGTGATGCACGTTACGGGAGAGCGTGCAGTGTGATGTACGTTATTGGGGAGCACACAGTGTGATGTATGTTATTGGGGAGCACACAGTGTGACGCACGTTACGGGGGAGCAAGCAGTGTGATGCACGTTACGGGAGAGCGCGCAGTGTGATGTATGTTATTGGGGAGCACACAGTGTGATGCACGTTATTGGGGAGCACACAGTGTGACGCACTTTACGGGGGAGCACACACTATGGGGGAGCGCGCAGCGTGATGCACGTTACAGGAGAGCGCGCAGTGTGATGTACGTTATTGGGGAGTGCACAGTGTGACGCACGTTACGGGGGAGCACACACTATGGGGGAGCACACAGTGTGACGCACATTACGAGGGAGCACACACTATGGGGGAGCACACAGTGTGACGCACATTACGGGGGAGTACGCAGTGTGATGTATGTTATTGGGGAGCGCGCAGTGTGATGCATGTTACTGGGAGCACACACTATGGGGGAGCGCACAGTGTGACACATGTTATGGGGAGCACACAGTGTGATGCAAACCGGAGAAAGCAAAGAGAGGCGGGCCGGCCAGCTCAGGCCAAATGAAGAAAACACCCACGGGGTCACTCTTGTTGCCACCGCGGCTCTCAGCGACCCCATGGATGCAGAGAACTGCCCTGTGGGTTTTTCAAAGATGTGGCCTTTTGGAAGCTGATGGCCAGGCTTTTCTTCTGAGTTGCCCCTGGGCAGGTCAGAACTGCCAACCTTTTGGCTAGTGGAGCACCTGGTTTCACTAGCCGGCGACCCTGAGGTGGTTGTAAAACTTTAATGAGTGGTTTGGCTGGAGGGGCGAGGGCTGGCCACCAGGCAAGTCCTTGCACATGCTGGTGCCTCGGGCTGTAGAGCCACAACTAATACAGACACCCTCGTGTATCATGTTTTGTGGCTACTGAAAGGTCAGCAGTTCAAATCCACCAGCTGCTGGCTAAGAGGCAGATGGGCAGTCTTCTGTTAAGACTTCCAGCCCCAGCAATCTGATGGGCCATGCAGTGCAGTGAGAGTTCAATGGCAGTGGGTGGGACGACTCCAATTACTTCCTCCTCCACCTGCTCCCACACTGCCCAGGTAGATCCCCTGCTTGGCCCACAGCCCTCCTGCACCTGGCTGCTCCCCAGAACCCAAGAGTTCAGCCAGGTGTCACCCTCCATGGTCCCCTCCGGCCCGAACCACCTCTACGTTTCACTAAGAACGGGGCTGGTAACACCTCATGGGTCACATCTCATGGGACTGTCATGAAACTGGGAGGAGGGAGCTTGGCCAGCCAGAAAGATCGCCTGCCCCCCAACTACCACTGAGTCCCTAGAGCAGAACGTCCACAAGGAGGGGTAGGGTGGGGGCCAGGCTCTCCCAGGGCAGCAGACCCCTGAGCCTTCAGGCGGAGCAGGAACAGGGACAGACCCTCTCCAGAGCAGGGTGGGAAGGGGGCAGAGCCCTGAGCCTTCAGGTGGGTGGGAGGTGGGAAGACCCTCCCTGGGGAGCAGACCCCAAGCGCACAAGACCAGAGTGCTGACCAGGTCGCTCCCATCACAGCGCGTCATGGTCTACAGGAAGCTCGGAAAGCCACAGTCGTCAGCACTTCCCGAGCACCTGCTGCAGGGCAGTGCCACCTGGTCACAGGAGAGCCCGACACTGTCCACGCTGTACCCTCATGCTCGCAGTGACCCCACAATGAAAGCCCAAGGTCGGGGCCACTTAGATCCTCTGGGTCCCAAGGGGGTGCAGAGGGCTCTCTGCCCAATGGGGTGAAGACAAGGGCTAGAGAAGCCCAAAGTGAAAGTGAACAATGCAGAAAACACGAAAGAAAAATTACTTAAGTCGCCTGGCGCTAACAACTGTCCCAATTTCCGTGAGTCTTTCAGGCGGTTTTCCCCTATGAGCTGCTCCCTTGTTTTTAATAAAAAGGGCTCAAGCCATGGGCTCCTCTTTGCTATTTATTCTCTGCATGTTTGAGTCACATGCCGCCCGGTCTCGGTCTCGGTTTGCAGCCTCTGAGCCAGCGCCCTCCTGCTTGGCCACAAGCAGGCGGGACCGGTCCCCATGGAGGGATGATGCTTCCTAACACCCTCTTCCTAAATGCTTGTCTGGACGTCATCACTGCCCTACCAACTCTGGGGATTTGAGGAACAGGCTTCAGGATCAAAAAAGCCTCCATTAAAGCATTCAAGACTCCTGGCCAAGCACTCGAGTCCAAGAGGTTACGCCAAATTGTGGCCCGCGGCAGACCTGCTGTGGCCACTTCCTGCATCGCCTCCACCACTGGGCATGGCTCCCATCATCAGGGTGATGGCAGTCAATCTCATTTCTCTTTGAATCCATATTTTTAATTATTAAAAGGCTGAATACCTTTACACACTCACTAATCTAAGCTTTACTGTTGTTAGGTGTCGTCGAGTTAAGTACGACTCATAGCGAATAGCGACCTATGAACAACAGATCTGAAGTCTGTCCTGTCCTGTGCCATCCTCACACTTCCTGACACACTAGAGTCCATTGCGGCAGTCACCGTGTCAGTCCACCTGGTTAAGGGTCTTCCTCTCCCTCGCTGACCCTCCACCCTTCCCAGCACCATGTCCCTCTCCAATGAACAATCCCTCCTAGCAACGTGCTCAAAGTATACGAAGGTCATCATTCTTGCCTCCAAAGAGCTCTCCAGCTGCACCCTCTCCAAGACATATTTTTCTTTTGGCCATCGATGGGATGTTCAGTACTCTTCTCCAACACCACAGCTCAAAGGCATCAATTCTTCCTCTGTCATCCTTATTCACTGTCCAGCTCTCAGATGCATCGCCTGACGATGACCTGAATTAGATGCACCTTAGTCCTTAAACTGACATCATTACTTCTCAATAATTTGGAGAGGTTTCTAACTGCAGACTTCCACAATGTAATACATCTCCTTATTCCCTGACTGCTGGTATCAACGGTGTAAACTGTGGATCTAAGTAAAATGAAGTTGACAGTTTCAATCTCTTCTCCATCCATCACGATGATGCCCATTGGTCCAGTGGTAAGAATCTTTGTTTTCTTGACAGAGGTGCAACCCATCCGAAGGCTGTTAATCTTCTACAAGTGCTTCAAGTCCTCCTCACTTGCAGCAAGCTAGGTTGTATCATCTGCTTAGTACAGGTTACTGATACGTCTCTCTGATCCTGATGCCTCATTCCACTCCATAGAGTCCAGCTTCTCGGCATACTGTTTGAATAGGTATGGAGAGAGAATACAACCCTGACGCACTCCCTTCTCAATGTTAAACCATGCAGTGTTCCCCTGCTCTGTTTGCACAATAGCCTTCTGGTCTAGGTATAGATTTTGAATGAGCACCATTAAATGTTCTGGGACTACCATTCTTCTGTGTCAACCACAACTTATCTAAGCAAGTCTTATTGATTTGTAAACGCTCTTTACAATCAGAATGTCCTTTCTGGTAAAATGTATTATACATTTCCCTAGTTATATATCTTCTTATTGTATTTACCCCTCATCCCACAGAAACCTTGTACTTAACTGGTTACAACACAGTTCACAAAGACAATGTCTGCACCTGCCAGGCGGCAGAGACTGGGGCCTTTGGAGCCAGTGAGTGGTGCTCTAGGAAGCACCCACTGGTCTCCCCTGCACAGAGTGAAGAAGAGCGAACAAAATCAAAGATTCAAGGAACAAGAGAAGGACCAGGTACACTAAGCTTCCCGAGACCAGAAGATCTAGATGGTGCCCGACTCTCATTACCAACCGCTCTCTCAGACCATAGCAGGTCCTGGAAAGAACGGAAGAAAATGTACACTAAGACTCAAAATATTAAGACCAGACTTATTGGTCTGATAGAGACAAGTGGAACTCCCAAGGCCATGGCCCTTAGATCCCCTTCAGACCTGGAACAGAACCCATCCCCAGAGACTGATCACCCTGCAGCCCAGCAGATAGCTCTTTAGGTAAACAAAAACTCACGAGGAAGGCTCTCCTCAGAATCTACCAGGTCTGACCCAGAGGGCAACAGGTACCTGGAAACAAAGCTCAAGAAGGGACAGGCCAGAGGGGGAGCCTCGTGAGGGAGTGAAGAGTGCTGCTACCGAGTGAACTGTCACCGATGTCCCAAAACAAAACACGGGTGCAGGCTTTGCCTGGATGTTTTACACAAGTCCTCCAACGACAGCAGTGCAACAGCCCATCTGTACGAGCCCTTCTGGCTCCAGAAGCTCTGGGACCCAGCTCAGGGGTGTCCCCTCACAGCTCCGGGGGTGCCCCCCACAGCCCTGGGGGTACCCTTCACAGTCCCAGGGGTGCCCCCCACAGTTCCAGGGTGATCTAAACTCTGCTCTGAAGTCAGCAAGAAACACGGGCAGGGGGGGCACTCAGGGAAGTGAGTGGTGTTTCAGGTACCTCCCATTCTACCTGGCACCCACTCTCTCAGACCCACCAGGCCTTGGGAAGACTGTCGCTGATCCCCACCCTTTGAGAGGGGCTCAGACTGCCCCTAGTGTCCAATGACCCATGTGAGTGTCCCAGCAGAGCCTTGCGGAGCCCTGGAAGGGCAGATACTCGGCCTCAAAGCTAATGTTAACACTGTAGGGCCCACCCACTGACCTGGTTGGCAAAGAGCAGGTGGCAGACGGTGTGGTCGTCTGGGTCCTTCATGATGGCACGGATCACCTGCAGCATTGGGGTGATGCCTGCAAAACAGTTGCCCAGGCACTGAGTGAGCGCCTGCTGAATACAGAGGGCCAGGGCCAGCACCAGTGCGAGGTGCCGGGACAAACAGGCCAGCCCGGCTTCAGGGGCCCGTGGCTGCTTTAATCTGTGGGCTCCACACACCTGTCCCTCCTGCGATCATGCCCACGGACTTCACCGTTGTGACGACAGGGGCGGACTTCTTGTCTGCGCGGATGGCAAATTTTCCTGTGGAGACAGGAGGTGTGAGGCCCAGTGCCCAAACATGTGGTGCTTGGGACCTGGAGACCTGTCACCATGAGGGTCTGCCAAGTGCTTCGGCCACTCAGGGTGCAGGAGGAGAAGGGGGAGCCTGTGCGGCTGAGTGACCCTGAGGCTGGCCCTGATGCACAGGCAGGAGCAGAGGGGACGAAAGAGCTAAGCTGGCCTTCCAGCCCAGTTGCCTTGTTTGCTTTCAAGGGGCTGGGTCCGTGGCCAGATGTGGCCCTGAGGACAAGCAGGCTGCAATTCCCATACTGGCCAACTCGGCCCAAAAGGAAACAGCTTTGCCCATAAGAGATCCCATCCAGGCAGCAGTGGTCAGGATCCCAGCCCTCACTCTTGCCCATTCAGCCCCAGGGGCATCTAATCCAAATCACCTTTGCCCTGGTAGACCAGCAGCCCGTTGGGGCCCCGGAACTCAATGATGTCTCCGATCTTCATGTTTTCCAGGTACTGGGACATCTTCCCTCCAGCAGGAAACTTGGGATGGGTATCTTTGAAGTAAACCTGCAAGACAGGCCCTCAGTTCTCGAGTCCCAGCAGGGGACAGGGTTGCAGGGTCGAGCTCTCATCCAGGATTCTTCAGTGGCCACCCAAAGCCTTCTCCCTCGGTCCTTTCCACCCATCAGAGCTGTCCTCTCCATGTCCCACCCCGGAGTCTGTCCTCCCCCAATGGCCCCTTGGAAGGAGTGAAGTACCAGCCTGGTACACAAGGCAGAAAGGCTGTGGGGTCCCGTGTTAGCACCCCAAGAGTCGTCCCTGTGGCTACCCCCACCCGGGGAGCCTCTGGGACCCGCTCAGCCATGCCCCTTCTGGTGGAATTCTAGCTCTTTCTGATCTGCACTGCCCTAAAAACATCACTCTCCCTGGGAAGCTCAGTGTCCACTCCTGTGTCCTGGGGGACTGCAGCCTCGGAACAGGAAGTGCTCTGGCCACTCACGCGGAGGAGGGGGCCGCATGCCCTGCCCAGGGCGGGCTGAGACGGCCTCATGGGGCATGTGCATCTGTCCTGTGTGCCTGACCTTTGGTCTTGACCTCTGTAATGTCTGCTCCCAGCAGGGCAAGCTCCCGAGGGCTGGTCCCCCTCATGTGTCCAATAACACCCATCTGACCCAGTGTCTCCAGAGGAGCGCAGGACACTCAGGATGGACACAGACCCAGATCCCTTTCCACACTCACAGAGCTGGGACGGAGCTGACCAAGGGCCTGGCCAGTCGGGGCTCTGGGTACAGTCCAACTGGGGTCTCTGCCTACACCCTCCACCCAAGAAGGACCAGCACGGGGCTTAGAGGCCTATGCTCTGCAGTAAAGCAGGGACAGCTGGGCTGGTCCCCGAGCTCTGGCTAGAAAGGGGTCCCAAAGCCCCAGAGCACATTCTGGGCCCCTCGCAGGGTGCTGTGCTATCAGAGAACACGGAATGCCTCTGGAAAGTGAGATCTGAACATGTGTGCGCAGGAGCCTGGCACCTGGTCACTCCCCTGCGCACCACTTCCCCTTGCACCGTGGGTCCCCTATCGGCTGCTCTGTGACCTCTGGCCGTTATGTCTATTGGCTGCATTTTCTCAACGGTGGACTGCAGACTGTCCCCTCACCCACTCTTTCAGCAGCACCTTGAGGGGTACTCCACACTGCTGGTGGGGTCTGTGAACACTTGCACCAACAGGATCGGGGCGGGACTCTGCCTGCCCTCGGTGTCATGGGTGCTGTGCTGGGCTCTGAAGGAAGGCAGGGTCTTGCCAGTCTCCCAGCTGGGCAGGTTCTCTGCTGCCCCTGAGGGCGTGCAGCCTGGCACAAGCTGGCTGGCCTTGCTCCTCTCCTGTCAATGACTGCCCCTGACCGTGGTGCCCAGCTCTCTGCTGTTTGCCAGGACTACCCCTCAAGCCCGTTCAATATGTGTGAATGAACTATGATCGCTGAACCATCAGGCATGCAGGAGGGCGGGGCTCTAGAAGCCAGGCTTCCGGGGCCTCTGCTGAGGCATGTCCCCCCGCCCCCCAGCATGCCCGTGCCCAGTCCTGGCCCTCACCTTGATAACCAGGTCCACGAAGCCCTTGTCGTCATCGCTGGAAACAGGCGTGTAGGGTCGGACGACCAGGTTACCATCAATTCTTGCAGAGAGGTAAATATGCTGGCCTGTGACAGGACAGGCAGAGTGACACTAGGCCTCTGGTCACCCCAACAGGTGTCCTTGGGCCTGCTCAGCCCATCTTCCCTGGCTCCCCACCCAGCATCAAGCCTAGTGTGGCTCAAGCTGACGCTGGGATACTCACCACTGCCAGCCTGTTTCCTGCCTGCCCGCTTCTATGGTGCTGGTGGCCCGTCAGGGCCCTCCCATGCCACAGCCCCCACCCACATCCCAGGCTCCTCCCACGCCACGCCCCCACCCACATCCCAGGCTCCTCCCACGCCACGCCCCTCCCACATCCCAGGCTCCTCCCATGCCATGCCCCCACCCACATCCCAGGC